GGCACGCAAGCAACAATTGAGAGGCCTTTTGGGACCGCGATGTTAGTCCGGGAGCATGTGGGCTAAAGAGGGGAGCGCAGGCAGAGGATCTAAAGACTTCTTCGTTGGGGGAATCGATAGGGCCCGCTGGCCTTTGACCTGAGGGACACTGGGACGGCAGCAGCGGCGGGTCAGTCGGTCTTTTTAAGCCGCTGTGAGCGCAGGATCACGCTGTGAGGCCTGACACTGGCTATGACACACTCAGGGCTTAGAGCGACATTGACCTGGCTGCAAACACACCGAGCACACACACACACACACACACACACACACACAAAGCTCAAACATCCACACAGAGACGGCTCTGGCTCGAGAATTTAATGAAGGGATAGTTTTACGACAGCTAGAAGCAAACTTTCAAAGCAAACTAACTGATCCACGAGTCTGGCTGAAGAGATGCAATTTGAACTTGTCCCTTTTAGCTTCTGCTTCTCATGAGCTTCTAATGATGTCCCGAGCGGCCCCTGGGAGCAGGGCAACGAGCTGCAGATCAATACGAGAGACTGAGTAAAGATCAGTCTCTTAATTAAGCGAGAGTGCTGTAAGATTAAAGACGGATGGAGAGGGACGGGCAGCTGTGGGTGTCCCTGGGGGTCAAGGGCGCCCACAGTGAGGCTGCAGGGGGAACTCACACTAGCAGAGGCCTTTTTAAGCCCAGTGACAACACACAAGGTCTACTTCCTTAAAAGTTTTGGACAAACCGAAGCCTAATGCACTTGGACAGGCCTTGAAGTGAGACGTATGATAAATATGAGCACGAATGGAGATACTCAATAGCGTGAAGAGATGATGCCGCAAAAGGAACAACAAGCTCGTTGCAAACCTGAGGAGATGACGGTCGACGCTTTATTTGCCACCGAGCTCCTGTATGTTTACACATATCCATCCGTACTCTTCGTTCTAACAGTTTTCTGCCGCTGATGACTGGAACTCTTCAACATTTCCTAAAACTCACCTCATACGTACCCTCATCGTTTACAAAAATCAGTTTGAGCAACACCTCAGGACCACTGCGCCTGTTTCCAGCCTCTCTATTTTATGTCTTTGTGTAATTTGTTTTGTGATATTGTGTGAGTTGCTGTACATGTAACCTGTTTTTGCTGTTCATCTTGTTTGGATGCCGCCTCTTGACCAGCTTGCAAATGCGAACCAGCTCTCAGTTAACTTATCTGGTACAATAAAAATAAAAGAAAGTATTAAAACGTCTCCCATTTCTGTATTTGTCTGATGTTTCAGGGCACCCTTTCTAACTTTCTCATGCATTTAAGGAGCGAAGTTAAGTGGGAATTCGTCTAAAGTTACTTCTAAAAGTATTTAAGTGAGCTCTTTTTATTCCCCCAATGAAGCATGTTTTTAGTGATTTACATACAAAAATCCCAAAAATCTGCAGCTTCCAGCTTCTCAAATTTGAAATAAATCTGCTTTACTTAGTCTTGCGTCATATTAGAACGTTTGTGGTTTTGGCAAAACAAGATGTCTGCATGTGTCGCTTTTGACTATTTTCTGTATAATGATTTAAATAACTGCAACTTGGAGGCATAAATATCATGAACTAGGACGACTATTGGACTCAAGGTGACGTCCTTATTGTGTTTGATCCAAACTCCAAAACCTAAAGATACTGAATTCATAATAACAGGAAACTAAGGAAACCAGCTCTGTGTTTGCTTGGTTCGGTAACAGCTAATCAAACCTGTTGCCAATTACTCAGCTAACGGCTTTGGGTTTATGTGGGATGTAGGCAGTAAAGTGTTTGTTTGCTCCGGCTCTGGCAGAGATAATGCAGCTCTCCACCTCCCAGCATGTGGTCAGTTTCGGGTTCCCGGCCCGAAGCTTCCCCCTCGTGACCCCCGCTAGTCAAAGGTGATCACGGGGGAGACAGAAAGAGAGGCACTGATCGAATTTGATAATGAAGACGACCCCTCTAAGCTGCTTTGCTCCACATGTTCAAAATCTCTGGAACACTCAATAAACACTAGGAAGCCCCCCTCCCTGTCTCTGGAACATTGTGTAGGTATTGATCCCGGCTAACTGGCTCTTTTAATACCTGGGGTCTGTGGCCCGGCCTGGGGAAATGCATACTGACATGTGACGGGAGGAGCTTAATAGGCAAACACACCGAAGAAAAGATGGGCCTCTCAGTTTAGCATTTCTCTCCTGTTTTTTTTGTACACATCTGCTGAAGAAAGGAGAATTTACACCCGTTGCACCTGCTGTTAAAGGGACATATAGACCGCAAGAGGCCCGGTGCTGGACGCAGAGAAAGCTGTCACACTGTCACAAACCATTTGTGCAGCAGTGGTGGAAGAAGAAGATCTACCACCCAAATAAAAGAAGCAACAATGGTACAAACACAGTCCGGATGGAAGATAAAGTCCTGAACAGAGAGACGCTTCAACAACAAAATGCACTTTGAGACAAACGTGACTGTTAGGATGCATTCATGTCTGTTATAATTAAGTATGTTTCAGATATTATGTATTCTGAATCTGTGTTTTGCACTGAGCCTATGATTCTGTTTCGTATTTTCCTACTGAGCACAGCATGCGTCCTTGAAGACAACACGGCCGGTGAGAACTGGGAGACAACGGAAACTCCTCTGTTCTATCAGCTGCTTTAGATACACACCTTTTAGACAACACACACACTTTGTATTTGATCCAAGCAGTTTGTGTTTACATTTCACTGAACTTCCACATCAACAGTGGTTAGCCTGTCCATGTCACAGTAATTAAACTTGGTGGTGTACCAGTCCAACCTCTGACTGTACTGTACGGGGCAGTCCCAGCCCAGGAAGATATCTGTAACCTGAACCCAAAAAAACTCAGTTCAGCTGGACATGAGTTTCCTCTCTGTCCCTCTGAATCCAGCGCTGCCTCACTTTACCTGTGACCTAAATAAATTCTACATGTGAGAACTGAAGATTTCTCCGGCTTGTTCTTGGGCTTCCAACTAGAGAATCGGGTCTAACAGTATGAACTAGTTTAACTACAGCACTGTAACACGTCATGCAGGGATTTAGCAGAACCAAACTGGCACTCCTGAGTTTCCAGTGACTTCTAGAACTCTGAAGTCTTTGTCAGCAAAACAACAATCGTGCATTTTGGTTCGTTTATAGATTTACTATGAGCGTTCTGGGGTCAAAAACATACACACAGCAGCTTACATCATCAGTGTTGGTGATGTGGAAAGTTGTGTTAATCTGATTTTCTTAGTAGCGTCTCAACTTCCCGTGAGTGATGAGGGTTGACTACAGCTGCTGACTCCCCAATTTAAATAGCACCCACATGATGCACTCATTAGACTCAGACTAGAGATCTGAAAAAGCAAATCATTGACCGCTACAAGACAGGAAAGTCACTTGGAGCCATTTCAAAGCTGCTACAGATCCAAAAGTCAGCTTTACAAACAACTGTAAGTGTAGGAGCCATTTATGTTTGTTGTCAGCAGGTAATTTGATGTGGATTATTATTATTATCATCATTATTATTGTTTGGACACATTGGACAATTGCCATTACACTTATGTTTTAAGTGCATTGTACCGTTGTGTGGAAGCGAACATGAACTATCACCTGCTGCTGCTGAGAGACGATTGTTCAAGACGGTCAAGAGTCCAACAAGAATCACCAAAAACCACCAACAAAAGTCAACGGAGTAATGAAAATGGAAGATTACCTCCACATTCTTCAGCAAAACCTAAAATCATCAGCCAGGAGGTCGGGTCTTGGACGCAGTTGGGCATTCCAATAAAGCAATGGCACCAAACACGCATTGAAAATGGTGAAGAAATGCCTAAATAAGGCTAGAATGAAGGTTTTAGACTGCTCCAACTAAACCCCATCAAGAACCAGTGGACGAGTAACAAGTCTGGGTCAGAAAGCAAAGAAATGTAGTCGAACTGCACCAGTTCTGTCAAGAGTGTTCAAAGATACAACCAGAAGCTTGTGGATGGAAAACAAAAGCACCTGCTAGAGATGACTGTATATCATCACTCTATAGGTTTGTGCAATGTGTTAATATCATGTTAATTCAGCTCATAATTTTCTGGTTTTCAACCTCTAAAGCTCTTATAAACATGACTACGTCTGTGGTAGTGAAAATGCTTCACTGTAAATGCTTTACATTGGTATCTTGCCCAAAGACACTTCAGCACTGTGAGAGTCTGGAGATCAAACCAGCAGCTCTGCAATTAGTGAGCAGGCTGCTCTGCCACCAAAGTGAGTGTATTTAACATCTTAATGAGCAAAGGAACCTGAAACAGGAGCAGCAAAGGACGGCTGTGGTTCAGGTGGTAGTGGTTGTCCTCTGATCATAAGGTTGGCGGTTCGATCCCCTCCAATCGAAGTGTCCTTGGGCAAGACACTGAACCTGAAGTTGCTCCCAGTGGCAGGCAGCACCTTGCATGGCAGCTCTGTCACCACTGGTGTATGAATGTGTGAATGAGAAAACATTGTAAAGCGCTTTGAGTGCCGCTAAGGTAGAAAAGCGCTACAGAAGCGCAGATCACTTACCATTAAAGTTAATGTAGTGGAGAACAAAATACAACATCCATCCATCCATCATCTACACAGCGCTTAAGGGTGGTGGGGGGCTGGAGTCTATCCCAGCTGACTCAGGGTGAAGGCAGGTTCACCTGGACAGGTAACCAGTCTATCACAGGGCTACACTTAGAGACAGACAACCAAGCACACTCACATTCACACCTGCGGACAATTTACAATCACCAATTAACCTCAGCATGTTTCTGGACTGTGGGAGGAAGCCGGAGAACCCGGAGAGAACCCACGCTGCACGGGGAGAACATGGAGACTCCACGCAGGAAGATCCCGGTGTCCCCACAAAACACAACATTTCTCTGTGAAATGCGGCACCGTAGAGGCATGAAGCAGAATAAATACCTCAAAACTGTAAAGTATGTGCGTATATGTACCTTTGTGCACAGAGGACGACAGGCAAACGTTTTCTTTTAACTAATACGTTTTAATAGAAAAAGATAAACAACCAAAATATGAACAAATACAAAAGGAAACTGCTTCGAGCGTATTTACAGCACTCCGGCATTTTTCAGTCATTGTCAACACAAAACAGCACAGGTTAGCGCACTAAATGGTAGCTGTTTGTAATTAATTACCCAGGGCTAATTCGACAACACTGAACCTAATTTAGTCTAATTTAGAGGAATAACATGTCAGAGCTGCTATCACAAAGACTCCTCTAGGTTTACTTCATGCAGTGCACGTGACGGAGACGGTGGTGGATATAGTCTGAACTATAACATACACCCATATATTCCATCAACTATACCAAATAGGTAGTAGCAGTGACTTTACGCTTCTGCTGAGGGTCTTTAATATGATCAAGTATTATAGGATTCGTCAGGTTTGTGTGAGAGCCAACCAACAAAATCAACTCGATAAGAACTGCCGTATAAACAGAGCGTCGGCGAGGAAAACGAGGTGACAGACGTGAGTGCATTTACAGAGCCGTGTTTGACAGACTAAGACACGAATGCACTTAAGTGTAACTAATAACAAGAGTTGCATTATAACACACATGAGGTACTCAGACTTGGGCCCTATACAACAAGAGCGTTTCTATAGTGCAATTTAGGCTGAAGATACACCCGGCGTGAATATCCTATTAGTCATCAACATTCAGCTTTTTAACTTCTTCTATAGAAAGGTTTAATTTATGAATAAGTTTCAGGCCTTAAAAAGATGCTGCTTAAATAAATAGAAACACTTTTTAACTAACGTTTTTTTTAGAACTGAAGTATCAATAAGCAAATGAAAACAGAGTTAATTTAGGCTCCTATTGCTTGAAGGGGGGCTGACAGCTCTCACATACAGTAACAACACGAGCTCCTCTCAGGCTTTATCCCTCCCCGCTGAGACGCTGACGGACGCTCTCTGAGAGCAGGTGCAGGCCTCCTGAACGTCCTTCTCTTCCTGCGAGGCAGGAATTCATGCTGAGGAAAGTAGATCTGAGGGGTCAGAGGTCATCTTTTGACCTTGGCGTCCTCCTTGATCTTCCAGATCATCAGCTCCATGCAGGCGGCAGCGTCTTCGCTCGAGTCGTGGCCTTCCACTGGAAACACAAATCACAAATGTTTAACTTCAATACTGTAGCACTGGATTTATATAATATAGATTTAACGAATCAGAATCAACAATTGGCTAAAAAAAGAAGTCACAATCGATGCAACAAAACGAGATAGAAAGTCTTTGCTGTAGTTTCATTTGAATCTAGTGTAAATATTACCCACAATGCAACTGGACAGTGTGTTTGGAGATACAGGTGTGAAATGCTTGGAGCCTCTAATGCTTCAGTAGTTCTCCTCAACACATGTAAAGCAACTTTAATGAGAGTAAAATCAGTGGAATTCCTGTTTAGGTGAGATTCAACAGTAACTCAGACACAATGTGAAGGGATCAAAACGAGAACCTAGTGCTGCTGTAAAGGATGTACAAAGAAAAAGATCAAAACTTGACAATATTGTGTGAAGAAGTGCAGCAGAGAAGATGACAGAGGGCTGGTTTCAGTTTAATGAAAGCATCGCTGCTCTGAAGCTCTCGTCTCGTCAGACCATCATATCTTGGGTCTAAAGCACTGCTTGCTGTCCGAGGTGTTTCTGTAAACTGATCCGAAGAGACTTTCAACACTTGGGCTTCAGCAGCGACACCTGCTGGCGACACGGTCATAGTGCAGTCTAATAAAACACATTTATGGGACTGCGCTTCATCTGCGTCACCGGCAAAACCGACAACTTTATGAGTTACGAGCTTCCTCTGGAGACCGCACACGCTGACGTTTATGAGGTTAAAATTTATAGCCGCTCAGCTTAATTTCATTTGACTCATCTCTTCTGGATTTACTACGTTACTATTATCGACCGGAGTGAATCTCTCTTTTAGTGCCACTGTTACATTATTTATATTTAACAACTTTCTGCTTATATTTTGCAGCTACAGCTCTGACTGGCTCTCCAGCCGTCTGATGGGGAGCTCTCTGTCTTTGTACATCCTCTCCTCAGGTTTTCTCAGTATTTTTTCTCTTTTGTTTTGAAGTTTTTGAGGTGTTTCGGCCTCATTTCTTAACAAAACTTGGCCTTAATGGGGATCTACAGCTCAGTCATTGTGTATGGCGTTAACTTTAAAAGTAGAATAAGCGGAAAAAATAAAAAAGTGACTCAGATCCAGACAAGATTAATCCATCCAACCAGACAGAAGGGTGTCTGTCCTTGTACACGAGCTGAGTGCATGCACAGGACAACCCTCTAAATATAACATGTAAATATATAGGATGAATAAACAGGGTCCAAGTGTGACACAGGAAACAAGGCAGGTGGTTTGTCTGTAAATGAGACAGGAGGTTGAGCATAAAGAGGATAAAATGCTTCGAGAACTTTATCCAAACACAGAAAATGCTAAAACGGTCGCCTCATTGTTTAAAAAAGCAGTTCACCTTTTAAAAGCTCGTAGTTTCCTACAGTTCACTGATGATTTCTGGACAAACTACGAAGCCGACACAAAAATTAATGGATGCCAAAATTATTAAAACAATCCTTTATAATTCTGAACAACAGGAAGGGGAGGAGCAGACTCTATGTTCTGAGGAAGCTGAGATGCTTGGACGTATGCAGCAGGATGTTGGAGGTCTCCTGCCAGCGCCCTGTACTGTGCAGTGGTCTGCTGGGGAGCAGCATCACAGCCGGTGATAAGAACAGACTGAAAAAAATGATGAGGAAAGCCGGCTCTGTGATTGGCTGCAAACCGGACTGTTCTGAAGCTGTGGTGGAAAGGAGGACTTTAAACAAGCTGTTGTCCATCCTGGAGAACCCTGAGCACCCGCTTCACCCCCTGCTGGACAGGCAGCGGAGCAGCTTCTCCACCAGGTTGCTCCAGCTGCTGCCACAAGGTCAGATACAGGAAGTCTTTCCTGCCACAAGCACTAACTCTGTTCAACTCATCGGCCCTGGGCGGCAGAGCTCTCAGGCCTCTCTGGTTCCATCTTTGAAACTGCTCTTTGCACACTTCAGTTGTTCTCTTCTGTTGCACACTATTATTTGCACTACAATCCACACAGGACTTTTCTACGTCTATTTGACAGCGTTACACTTATTGTATATTTTGATTTTTATATTTTCCTGTTTGTTTTTGTTTATCTGTATTTATAGTGGTGGTAACTTTATCTTTATAACAACAACATTTCCCTTTTGGGATTAATAAAGTATTTCAATTCTATTCTAACAACTCGTCTGCTGCTTATTGTGCGACCATCTTTCTCACCGTTGTCCTGGATGATGCGTTTCAGGTGATCGGCCATCAGGTTCTTCAAGGCACGTTTGTAGGGCAAACCAAGGCGGTGAGGAAACACGATGGCCGTGTCGACAACCGAACTGTGGATGAGCTGCAATCAAGAGAGACGAAGAGAGACTGTATCAGAGTTTTCTTTTATTTCAGACCTGACTGGATGGCGCACTAGTAAACATACTGCTGATTGCTCTGTTTTTTCACTGTTGTGGCTCATTTGGTAGCACAGCCATGACAAAGCTCTACACACGGTGATGCATCCCCACATGTATATATATATACGCATATATCACAACAGTTGTTCTCAATCTTTTTGGCAAATTTCCGACGACTTACATAAAGGCAATGAAATGGGTAATGAAGCTGTTCTTTTGTGGTAATTGTTCCAAAGAGCGTCTGTGACAGTGAAGAAGCGCCTCACCTTCAGAGCGAGGAGGTCGCTCTCCAGACTGTGTCCGATGAGGATGGACTCAGCGCTGAACATGCTGAGCAGCACGGCCTGGACGTCTCTCAGGGTGATGGTGGCGCTCTCCAAGTCCTCCTCCGTCACACCGGAAAACCTGTGAATCACAGGGTCCGTCAGACGACTTTAACATGCTTAAAATGTTACTGAATGCAAATTAAATGGATTTTTTAAATTATGATTACTATGCGCACACAGAAACTCCTTTACCTTGTGTTGTAGTCGACCACTTTGCTTTCAGGTTTGACAAACGTGTCGTAGATCACTTTCATCTCCGAGTCGATGACCGTCACCCTGGTCAGCTCCAGGCCCTGCTTTGTGTAACACTGTGAGAAAAAGCAATTAAACAATTATGATACTAAACGAGAAACAGAATGAAAAGACGGTGTGACTTTCGTTTTCTCTCAGAACACACACACACACTAAATCAATTCTAAATGCACACAGAAGATGACGGTTTAATGCAAACTGTGCATTTACATCACAGTGTTTTAACACATCTGTCTGACTCACCATCTCACAGTCCAAAGCAAACACCCCTGCATTTCCGTCTGGTGGGAGATGTTTGCTGAACGTTGACACGTAGCCGTCCAGCGACTCTTTACGTCCGTCCTGAACATGTTGCTGTGGAATAGGAAACGCTTTCAGTCAAAGGACGGTTGTTATAAGTAAGAAAAAACAAAAAGATTTTCACATTATGTGGAAACAAGCATTTATCCTGGAAGTATCCTGTTTCCATCTTCAACCCAAAAGCACACTTTGACTCGCACCTCATAAAGCTGTGGTGCAAACAGGGTCTGCAGCATCGTATGAAATAGGCAGAAGCTTCTCTTTTAGCCCACACTACTACTAGGAAAAGTGCATCAGAATTTAAATACAATTATAACACACAGTTAAAAGGAAATCTTGCCTCAACTATGCCTGTAAATCTATGCTGGCTGCTAAAACCTGCTTTCTGAGCTCTACCATAAACCCACTCCTGTGGAAAAAAAACACTGAGGAAGGAAGAAATTTGTGATGGGACTAAATAGCAGTAGTAGCTAAGCTGAGTTCAAGGTTTTATTCAACCTGAACAATCCTAAATGTAACACTGCTCGGAGTTCTTATTTTTGGCAGGTGGTTGATGTTGTTGATGTCTTTGTGGTGGTCTTTGCACACTTGTTTTCCGACCTGAGCGCTACAACATTTGTCATTTACGTGGTGCTGTGCTCTGATGATACCTTGGCCGTCTGGCAGCCTGGAGCACCTACAGCTGCTGCACAACAGCTGTAGTTGGTCTCCCATCCTCCAGCAACTGACAGAGAACAGAAAAGAGCAGGTCAGAGAGAGGCATCAATAAATAAAAACTATACTGATTCCCATTTATGACATGATGTTAATGAAACCAACGTACCTTTATGTCTTCGTAAGCGTCCCCAGTGGAAGCTGCATTCCTCTTTCCGTACACAGTTGCCGTTGACGTTGATCTTGTACTCTGTGCCACATCGACAGCATACTTTGGCGAAAGCTGCAGAAGCGTTTCAGAGGCATCGGCGTTAACATAAATTCACATCAGTGAGTGGAAATGAGTGTTAAGAGAGAAGCTGGGTCGTGCAGTAACTTACGATCTAGGACGTTCTTCTTCTCCGGGAGGTTGTAGATGATGGCCTTGCCGGCGGTGTCGGGGTTTACCCTCGGGTATCCGTGCTCCTGCAGCTGCTCCTCTGTCATCAGGTACGTCTTCAGCTTCCTGTACAGCGAGGCTCCTACAGGCAGACACAAACCTACATGTTGTCTTTGTACAGCGATGCACTAAAAATGTGAACAAACAGACAAAGGATGACAACAGCAGCGACAGATTTCTACTGTTTTGTTAACCGTGTTTACTTTGTATGATGAGCGACAGTTCTTGGTCTCTGAGCTGGAAAAACTACTCCAGAAATAATAAAAACTTTCAACACGGCCTGCTGTAGACATAAAATGGAGTTATGAGGTTTCTAAAGAAGCTAACCTGCTGATCCTGTCCAACAGCAAGCACACTGACAACACTAGTGAAGGACAAGCTACACGTCTGGTTACTGACTAATTATTATCTTCATAGTTGATTCGATCTATAAATAATGCGAATTTCAAAAAAGGACCTATTCGTAAATAATCTTGAAATTTAAAGCTACAAGTGCTGTCTGACCTCAGTGTCATCAATAGTGCTGCAACAGGCAGATATGTTGGTGACTGATAAATCTGCTCATCCATCCATCATCTATACACCACTTAATCCTCACCAGGGTCATGGGTGGCTGGAGTCTATCCCAGCTGACTCAGGGTGAAGGCAGGTTCACCTGGACAGGTAACCAGTCTATCACAGGGCTACACTTAGAGACAGACAACCAAGCACACTCACATTCACACCTACGGACAATTTACAATCACCAATTAACCTCAGCATGTTTCTGGACTGTGGGAGGAAGCCGGAGAACCCGGAGAGAACCCACGCTGCACGGGGAGAACATGGAGACTCCACGCAGAAAGATCCCGGGTGTCCCACCGGGATGCGAACCGGCGACCTTCTAGCTGCGAGGCAACAGTGCAAACCACCGAGCCACCTTGCAGCCCGAAATCTGCTCATGTGCTCCAATATTCATTTGGTTCAAAAACACCAAAAAAAAAAAAAAAAAAAAAGGCCGATCAAAATGTCTCATGTAGAAGACAACTTCCAAAAGTCTGAAATAAAAATAAATATCTACTACAATCAAAAATTTAAAACTAAATAAATCAGATGTTTGCCTTTTTCTGTTCAATATGTATTAAACAAACAATTAGTTGTAAAAACGTTCTACTAATCGACAACCGGACGAGTCAACTTCAAGATTCTGTTTCTAGTTTTCAGTTACTCACAACACTTAATGTGAATTGTCTTTGAAAAAACTGTTGCAACCAGTAAGTCTCTGGTACTTTTACTCTATAAATCACTTAAAGGACTTATCAATAAAATTCTGACATCAGGTAGTCAGATGTGAACAGGACCTGTAGTTTGTCACGAGGGTTTTTGAACCTGTGAACATAAAACTGCCTCGACACATGTAAAAGCAAACAGAAGTCCACAAGTCTCTGCTTGACAAAAAGATTCTTTCATCTTCCTCATTTTTTTCCCTCTCTTGACTTTTTGATCTTATCAGCGGTGCACACTGCTGTGTTGTTGCCAGGAACACAATCAGGTGACTGAAGGAAAACAGAATGAGGTAAAGAAAGAAATATCTTCAGCATTCCAGAGAAACAGACCTGAAAACATGATCCTCCGTGAACATGAGTGAGGCCTTTTGTTAGGGATGGAAAAACAAACAAATCCGACTCACCAGTGAGCTTCTCCTCCTGCTGTTTGCCCATCCTGTTGACAGTGAAGCTCGTAGTTGCAGCAAGACGACCTCCCAGAACCTCCTCATGGGACTGTGCTCTTCTTTTAGCTACTAGTCCCGGGTGTTCTGCAGAAAACACGCGCACACACACAGAGAACTTTGGTCCACTGTAATTTATGCAACCATCATATTTCTGAACATGCAAATGTGAGGAGACAAGCTGATAAGTTAATATGCTGTGTATCATGACTGTCACAGCACACGATACGAGATAAATAGGTTGCATTTGATGCAATCCGTCGCTCTGTTTGTAGGTTCTTGTGTGTAAACCAAAGCATCGTGACATACTGGCGACGGGCGACGGGCAGGAGCTGCTCTTGCTCCGGAGCTTCTTCAGCGTGTTGACAGCTACGTTGAGGTAGATGTTCTTGCTGTTGCTGCGCTCATACACCAGCTTCTCCTCATCAAGGGCCTGAAGCAGCAATTACAAGTCGTCATTTTTTCATCTTCTTTCAAACAACTAAGAATCCCTCAGAATGCAAGGAGTGTATTTGAATTACTCGGGTTTCCAAACTTGGTTTACATGCTGTTAGGAATAAACAAGCGCACATCGCTCTGATAAACCAACACATAGCAGCTGTAGTTGATGTTCTGCAAAGATGTCATTGATACCATCTGGAAGGCGGCGTCCTCCGACGGGCAAAATTTGACACATTCATCTATGAAGGTGTTGAGGTAGCGCTGGCGCACGTTGGTGGGAACTTTGGCCCCAAACTCAGTGGGGATGACAGGACGCTTCATTGAAGTACTCTGAAAAGGTCCAAACAGACTTTATATAAGATTCTTAAACATAAATAAGCATTCCTCTCTAGAGACACCACCTCTGCCGCTAACCATCAAGGTTTTAGTGATGTGCAGACAAAAACAGTGAACATTCAGAAAAAGAAAAGGCAGCCAGAAATTTTGATGCAAGAGACACAACAGAGCTATGAGAGCTGCACAAACTAACCGACATGACAGATACCAGAAAGCTTTCATACCTTCATGGTGGGTGTGTGTGCCACCCTCTTCTGCATGAACGTAGATGAGGTCTTGGACAAAATACCAGCCGTGGTTTGAGCCTTGACACCCCCATGAGTCTGGCTGGGGGATAACACTCGACTGGCAGCTGGTTTAGCATCTGTAGGACCTGGTTAGAAAAGCACACACAGATAAAAAATTTGTTTAACGTCCCAGAAATGAAGATTTGAGATGAGTATGTGTGCCGTTAATCTGAGGAGTGAGGAGCTCGTACTTGTTTTGGAGGAGGCCATCTGTGGGTTAGGACGGTGCGCTATTCTCTTCTTCTCTCCAGAGTAGCCGGGGCTGGAGCTCTGAGAGGCAGCTTTGACTGAAGCAGAAAGCTGAGCGGCTTGCTGCTGCGCCATCTGCATGCGCTGGTAGCAGACCTCCTGGGCTGTGGGTCTCTTATACGGCCGCACCACATTCTTAGAAGGTGCATCAGTCTGAAAAACGAGAACAGAAAGTTTTATCCAACAATGTTCTTAATATGGATGAGCACAGTGTTGACAATGACGGGTTGTAGGTATAAAGACAAACACAAACATACGCTAACTTGCATGTTTAGTACCTTCCTAGCAGTGCATACAATATAAACTGATTACATTTTTTTATAGGGGGCGCCCCGGTAGCTCAACCAGACAAGACGGCGGCCCATGTACGGGGGCTATAGTGGCCAACGTAGCGGCCGCGGTTCAAGTCATTTACTGCATGTTCTTTCCCCTCTCTTCTCCCCACGTTTCCCTGTCTCTCTTCACTGTCCTATCCATCATTTATCAATATACTGCTTAATCCTCACGAGGGTCATGGGGGGCTGGAGTCTATCCCTGTTGACTCAGGGTGAAGGCAGGTTCACCTGGACAGGTAACCAGTCTATCACAGGCCTACACTTAGAGACAGACAACCAAGCACACTCACATTCACACCTACGGACAATTTACAATCACCAATTAACCTCAGCATGTTTCTGGACTGTGGGAGGAAGCCGGAGAACCTGGAGAGAACCCACGCTGCACGGGGAGAACATGGAAACTCCACGGAGAAAGATCCCGGGTGTCCTCACCGGGACACGATCTGGCGACCTTCTAGCTGCGAGGCAACAGTGCTACCAACTGTGCCCCCTTGCAGTCCACTGTCCGATCCAGTAAAGGCAAAAAAAGCCTGAAAAATAATCTCCTGCAGACGGTTCAGCTGCTCATATGCTGTCACTTCTGTTTTGTTTACTGACTAAACCGATACTGACTCTCTACACTCATGTAGTCATTTCGTTTTATTACATCAATTATACATCCTACACAGGAGTCATAAAGGTCATTTAACAAACACAAAATAATGCAGATTACTCCCTTCAGTGACATTTTAAAGTGATTATGTCCTCAGAACTCGACATCATATGGACAGAAAGCCTAAAGACTTTAACGAAGCTTCTAATGATGTAGTTCAGAGAGGCCACTTCATCCAAAGCTCCCCAAGAAGCTGACGGACTGCAGATCAGACTACCGGTATCTCTGCTGACTGACTGGCTGGCTCGCTGCCCCCGTGGGAACACTGACGACTGGTTCTTCACTGGAAAACTGACTGGAAAACCCCACAACCTCTGTTTCCAGTATTCTCATATCATGTTTTTACTACTTACTTCCTTGTAACTTGTTGTGTAATTTTCCAGAAGTCCCTCCTGTCCTGGACTTCCCTGTGCTGTTTGTCCTGCCCTTTCTCTCTTGTTTTACAATCCACAAGCAGAACTGTGTGGATTTTCTTAAAGAGTAACCAAAACATAAAGTAAAACTTCCTCTCATCCACTACTCTTCAGCACTGTGTGATAACTTTGGCCACACTGTGCACTTTCCCGTGCAGCTGTGTTTTCAGCGCATCATGACTCGAACTCCTCGTGAACAAATGTTGTTTGGTAAGCACACATTATTTGTATAAAATGGATCTCAGGAAAGGATGTATACGGTAAACTAGTACTCATAGAGGTCTGTGTAGATGCTCAGTCATCCATGTCGTAGTTATCCCAAGTGCTTTAGCAGAAGGCAGCTGGGCTTCTCCTTCGGTTCTTTAAGACGTTTCACCTCTCAGCCAAGAGGCTTTGTCAGTTCAAAACGAATCCATTCAGAACCAGTTGCTTTCCACTGAAGAACTTGCACATGCAGTATCTGTATCTGAAGTTCATCAGTTTACTGGACTGTTGGAAATATTAGTCGTTTGTAATTCAAAAGTGGCAAAAAAAATGAAAATCCAAACTTCTCAAATATTAATATTTTCTGTTTTTTTTCATGGTATGGCACTAAACTAAACATCTTTTGGTTTTGGACTCTGTGGTTTGAAAAGAACAAGACATAGGACAGAGTCACCTTAGACTCTGAGAATCATATGACCAAGCAAACAAGAGAGAAAATAACTGTTAGAGTAATTGATAAAGACAGTAATCAGCCATAATTTAATCAGAATTAATGTGTATATTCTGACTGTGTGGATACTTCATTAATAAATCATCATTTTGTGTGTTTACTGACAGTAGTTTTGCAAGACAAGCTACATGGTGTGACTGTTTGCAGAAAGTAGTTTACAAACCATTCAGAGCACCTTTTTCATTTGGTTGTGGGGTTTTTTTGGGGTTTTTTTGAGGGGACACTCTACTGTGCAAGAAATTCAAGCAAGGGCTCCTAAAAGTAAATAGAGAGAGGTTCAGCTACACCAACAGTCCACAGGCTGTATCTAAAACATGTGATATCACCTATTGATTTGTGGACTTCTGAAGCCTCGAGTTTGGAGTTTGCCTGTTGCCATGTTGGATCTGATTGGGAACTTGAGGACTGTACATATGCTGATGCAGCGTGTCAGTCACAAGGTAGCCCTGCCGTAAAACTTACTCTGCTTTATCGTCTGTTTTACTATAAGTGGGACTGCAATGTACGAAATGAACAAGAAGACTTTAAACTGGTAATTGAGAGTAGGGTAGAAAGCAGGGTCATTTTCTCAGACTTCTATACAGTACAAGACAACCCAAGGAGTGGATTTTTTTCCCCTGCTGGCTGTTATGCAGGCTTAAGGTACTTTCAGACTGGCTTCACTTCTCAGACCCAGAGGCTACGTCCATCTTTTATATACAGTCTGTGGTTCACTCCTGGCTGTGAGTCAGAGAAAGTCAAGATGACAAACTTACACTTCCTTTGGCAACAAAATGGGAGACTCTCTTCTTCTGACCGGGGAAGAGAGTTGTTAAAGTGCTCTCTGTGCATTTCTCCTCCTCTGAATCCCTAGACGGCTGAGAGGGCACAACATGCACATCTATTTAAATCACATCAAGCGACATCAGTGAAAAATGTATTTAGCAAGAAAAACTGGCAAGAAAAACTACAGTGCAAAAGTATAGCAAGCAAGAAACAAATACCTGCTTCGCTTGCCTTCCCTTGTCTTCCCTCTTCACATCTTTGGATTCATTGAAGATCCTCAAACATTCCTCCATGGGATCCGAGTCAAAGTCCAGATCGTCCTGGAAACCGGAGAAGTCGATTCTGACACCGTCAACCTCGTCCCTACCCGTCCGGCTGCACTCCACGTCACGGTCATTCTCATCCTCAGAGGAAGACGGAGTCAACTCTGACGCTTTCCTCTTGTTCAGACGTCCCCTCTTTAAAGCGTCAGCTGATTTCCTCACCAGAACTTCCTCCACCTCGTCGTCATAATCCACCTCCATCGGCTCAGCCTCATCCGGACTCTCATCTCCGAACAGATCAGCGTGGCTCAGACTCAGACTCTGCCGTTTGTCCTCGAGTCTCTTCCCGTTTGATGAGCTGATGTTTTGCTTCGCTTTATCTTTACTGTGTGCTGAACTGCCTTTACTGCTACTAGAACTGCTTTTACTAACTTTCTTCATGTCTTTTTCTCTTTTACTACTATCTAGTTTACCATTTTTGTGTTGGCGCTCCTTAGACTTGCTGTGCTCTTTTTCTCTGTCTGATGTTTTGGGTCTTTTGCTTTCCCTTGCACTATTTTCTGTATCTTTATCTTGCTTGCTTGAGTCTGTTTTTACTTTTTCAACTGCCTTGATTTTACCGTCGTTTCTCTTTTCGTCCCTGCCTTCCCTCTGAACTTTATGTGTTGTCTTAACCTTATCCATGTTTTTTCTATCATCTTTCTTTCCATGACTCTTGTTCTCCTTCTTTGCAGAGTCCTGGTTCGAGCTCTTCATTGAACCTTTGTCTTTACTGCTGCTGCCACTACTCTTACTACCAGATGATTTGTTCATGTCCTTTTCAAGTTTAGAGACTTTATCGTGTTTTCCACTTTTCTCGTGACTAGTTCTACTAACCACCTTCTTTTTTTCTAGGTTGTCCTTTCGTTTACTGTTTTCATGGGCATCTGAGTCGTGTGTCAGCTCGTCCTTATTCCTCTGTGTCAGTGCACTTGGCATACCTTCCGTCCTTTCTTTTCTTTCCTTCCCAAAAGCATCTGCAGCTGACCCATTGAAGCCTTTCCTCTGCTGGAGAACACTGAGCGACATGGGTCGATACTCTGTTCCAGAGCTCTCCTCCTCAGAGTCAGAGAAAGTGTACTTTTTGATGTCTACACTCGGCTGTCGTGGCTTTTTCACAGCTACAACATACTCCTCATCTGACAAATCAGACCCCAACAGTTTGTGTGCCTTGCTGCCCTCTGTCCTAACAGCTTGGGCAGCCTCCTCCCTCTTGCTTTTTGCTGCGATTCCAGCTGTGTAGTTGGACAGCGGATCGTACTCCATGTCCGTAGATGGTTTAGAATTGTCCACAGTGTATTTGCACTTCGAGGAGGTGCTGTTTGAATACTTTGGGCTTGGGGGAGGAGATGGGGGTTGGTGCGAGTGTGTCCGAGATGAAGGTTTTTTCAATGAAGTGGGAACGTATTCCATGGAGTTGCTATTGTGCCCTTGATTGTCTGAATCCAAGGTGTACTTGCTGCAGCCAGGGGTGGGATTGTACCCTCCTGATGTGATCTGATAACTGCCAGGATCATAGGCCATGTGTGAACTCGCCGCTTTAGTTTTACCAGTATCAGTTGAAGGTAAACTGGTACTCCCACTGGGACTGTACGGTTCATCCCCGATTCGAGACAGCTTCCTTTTCTCCCTCTCCACCTCGCTGCGGACCTCCTCGATGGCCTTGTTGACCAGCTCCAAAGCACCGCTGAGGTCTCCGGAGTCAGCCGACTTTCCATTCTGCTGCTCCTGGGGTCTCACTACTTCTGGGTTGAAGGGATCGTAACCTTGTTCTAGATGGACACAGGAGAAACAGGTCTTAATCAAACTGATTTAATATATCTTTTACTAGCTTTTTATGGAAGTTGTTTTGAACAGTAACATTCCAGCCCCTTAAGCAGATTGGGTTTTAGCCATACTGTGACGTAGCCACACTCCAAGGGTTGTTTTTTGTCACTGTAATTATGAAATTCTGTGTGTCTGCAATAAGGTAAATTAATTCAGTGACAGCAGGCCACCCACTCAACCCCGGTGGGCAGCACAATGTTGTATTGTCTTATTTGTCTAAGCAAATGCAGCGAGGTAGCTGCTGTCCAGATTCTACATTTTGGGGAAAAGAAACAGCATCGGTAGAAGCTCTGAGCATCAGCATCAGAAAGGTCTTCCTCAGCAGATGGAGTTGGCCAGAGAGAGTCAGACATACAGGACGTAATACAGGACAAATACATCACATGAGGTGAAGATCAAACTGTGATGCTCAAGTCTATATATATAAAGGATTTCCTTGGATTGTGAACGCGATCGAACACAGAACCTAATTGCTAACTACTTGTGTAGATAACTGTTTCAGGTATTTTCCAGTCTAAACTGGCCCATGCTCTGTTTTCGGCTCATCACATTAGAGGATTTTTATATCGTGAAATCTCTTTGAAAAAAAACAACACTGACAGACTAAATGTCAGCAAACTGGTGAATCAGTAATGAAAACAGTCATTAGCTGCAGTCACAGTGGCAAATCCAGTAGGACAACTGAATTATTATAGTTTGAAGAGAACATACTGAAAGGATCAAGACAGCTAGTAGACTACTGGTACCAGACCAAACAGCTCAACAGTTCTGCACCACAACACACAGTCCAGATGCTTTGTTCTGGTAACACTGCTGTGTGCAGACATTTCACTCATCACCAAACTATGCAGTTTTCCACTACAACTCCCGTGTCATTACATTTGTGGCGATTCTGTCCCAATATTCTTGCTCATTTCCATTTCTGTAGTGCCTTTCTTTTTATTGTTTAGCTTCCGCTTTGTACAGTGATCTGTGGTACTGTACATTGTGTACTGATTACTACAGCATACATCACCAATCACCACACTATCACCAATTACTACTGCTTACTAGCTGTACCTCCGTTTACAGCTACTCTGGGGGTCGAAACCTAAACAGTGCCTCAGTCTGTGCTGCGCAGCTAAAGGCAGCAGAATTTCAGTTTGGACCGTTTTGTGGTTTTGTTTGTTCGTTTTCACACATTTCCAGCGCTTCGGTCCACACGTCTCCTGCGCCGACCCCGCAGGTAACGGCGTCAAAGTATTCAGGTCTATTCTGTATTTGACAAAACAATACTAAGCACCTTTCTGTGCGGGGAGAAGCTCTCTTTGCTTTTTAACGTCTGCCGGTGCTCCGTAGGACGCCCGTCTCTGCTGGCTGTGCCTGAAGTGACAGTACGGTCTGTTACACCCATTCCTGCCGCCTTTGCCCTCGCTGTACTCCGCGTAAAACGGACAGTCAATCCCTCGGAAGAAGCCGGTGGATCTTAACATTATCCCCAGATGTCGGTCTCATGCCCGCACGAACACACTCGGCCTTCGTTTCCGCGTAATTTTCTGTCTCACTGCAAAAGCTTGTGGGAACGACGGAACAATAACAACGTCCCTACGGCGCCATGTTGGACTGGTCAGGAGGAACGAACTCTCGCGTGAAGCTCTACTCGGCGAGATTCATGACGTCACGGGATAATTAACGGTCCGCGGAGAAACTTGGCTTTTAGCCTTCGTGACCCCGAAACTACGGACGTCTAGGCAAGAAAAACTCGTGTTTTTTGCGTTGAAACTGCCTTTATCCTTTTATCTCAAGGCATCCGTTCATCTCCGTAGCTGTAGGTTTAGGCTACTTTATTTTAAATATGTTCATTTAATGAAAACCACGCACCTCAAACACACCATTAACTAACTAGTATGAACACCTGGTAGCGCTGCTGATTGGTTAATTGTGGTTTACAAGTCAAGTAAATGAGGCAAGTGTTTGAACATTTTTATTTCACAGGAATACAGAGAGATGGGCTGTGTTGAAGACTGTCCTGAACCTGGAAAGGAAATTATGTTTTTATTCCTCAGCAGACATTTTGGCTTTACAACAGGAAAAGCACATGTTTATGAATGATGAAGCTCCTCGTTGGTTGTTTTTGTGGCTTATTGGGCTGGTGGGATGTTGTGCAGATTGTTAAGTCACTTTGTTCCCCACGTTACAGAGCCAGGGCCGTACACGAACCACAGTCTATGGTACAAACATGGAACTGACAATTTAGTGCCGCTAAAGGAACAGAGTCATCTTTAATGCACCTGTGTTCGTCCTATGAGTCAGAAGTCAAGGAAAAAGTTACGAGAAGCTTAAAGTTCTCTCATTTCTGTATCAATTTAATGACAAAGCAATTCTATACATTTGAGGTAAAGCCTATTTGAAACCCACTATCAAATTTTTCAAACCCTTTATTCAAGATGTTTGTAGACCACATCGGATCAGGTCCAGATGACAAACCACTACGTTTAGACGGGTCAAAAATAACTAGATTTTCCCAGAGAGGCCTTAAGCAGCACCTGATTCATTAAACCTTTGTTTCTTCTGCAGATTTCACAGCTTTTCTCACACCTGTGCCACATCAGAGCAGTCGGTCATGATCTTGTTCAGACTTGTTCGGTCTGAGTTTAGTGGCTTCGAATGCAGGATATCAGTTTAATGTGGCCTACATGCCCCAAAGCTGAAAAATCTTCTTTCCTGAACTTTTCTTCACTGCCAAATCAGAAACTAACTCAGGCTAAAAGTCTACCTTAAAGCATACATTTCAAAAATGTTGAACAACTCCTTTAGAAAAAAACAACTCAATTTGAATTGCCTTGTCTGAAGCACATTAACTACATTTCTGGCTCAGTCTAAATAAAACATTCATGATATCTAAACAAGCTGATTTTTTAGTCTAACAAGCAACCAGATGTCTTTGTTACTGCTTTTAAAAATAAAGATAATCACAGACTACGACTGATAGTAAAAACATCTTTAAACCTAAATGCTTCCTAAATTGGTCCTAAGTGATACCTACCTCCAGCTCGACTCGCAAATCTCACACAAACAGCTGTTGGGGCTTTTTGAGCCCTCCACGCAGACACGTGGACCAATCAGAGCCGAGCTCCGGGCGTCATGTCCAGGTGTGCAGGGCAGCTCATCAGTGAGGTAATGACTGGCTCTCTTCCAGCAGGTGAAGGTTTGTTTTGTGGATCCGGTAACACACACTGCTTCAACCTCCCACATGTGTTTGGTTGTTTTCACACAGAGCAGCACATAGAGTTAAATATTTCTGCTTTAATGGTGAGAGTATGTCTATACAGAGAAGTGCTGAAGGGTACATTCAGGGTCAGATGTGAGAAATTTGTTAAAATCAAGAAAAGTTTCAGGTCGATCCATTTGAAAGCTTCTGTTTGATACTCCCTGCTGTTGATAAATGTGTTTTTATTGTATCTATCTTTATTTATTTATTATAATTACTTGCATCTTCTGCACTTTAATTTTATAAAGCTTAATTTCATCCCGTTCGTCATTTTCTAAAATTGAATAATAATAATAATAATAATAATATTTTAGTTTGGATTTGTATCTAGATACACTTTCCTACCATGTATCCACCGCTGGGTGCCTGTCTTTCTTTAAAAATATTCATCCAATATCCCTCTTTTATGGATAGCAAGTAGCCTATTATGAAAAAAAAACTGTCATTGGAGAATATAGAAAGTACAAAGTCAGGTCACTGGGGTTTGTACAGCACATTTAAAACAGCAGACATTAAGTTAAATGCTTTCTGAGAATTAAGAGTGATGCTAAAATTTACCTCATAAGTTTAAATGTTAAGACCCTACAATTATGTTACACCTTTACCAAACTCATTTAAATATTAACTCTACAAGATCTACATACATTTTTAGATATCCAAATAAAGTGAAAATGGGTTCAAGCAGTTGTCCATTTAGTTAACTTTTGATGGACGTCTCAGGCTCGAATGTAGAAGCTGTTGCAAATTGTATTGCATTTCTCAGCTCTTCCTATTTATAGTTTTTTTGTTCTCTTTTTCTTCCTGTCACCTCTTTGTGCTCTTTCCTGCATCTGTACAGCTGCAACAAGTGAGTTTCCCCCATCGGTGGTGAAAAATAAAGTGTAATCTAAACTTAGAGTCATTCTGAAAGCTGAGCTAAAAGCCAAGGTGTAGATAATAAAATCAATGTTTTGTTGGTTTGTGTTACTCCTGTCCCTTCCCTACGTCAAGTGATTTACTCTGAGAAAACACACGGCGGCTCGAGTCTCAAGTAAAGTTTAAATTTTACATGATTCATTGGCGTTAATCTCAATGAATGGACACTTGCATACTGCTTGTCTTTTCACAGACTTGTGGCACTGATTCTGGTAGGTTGAGATGAAAGAGAAAGTCATTATTTAATGAACTCTAATGATTGAAAGGCAGATTCAAGGTCAAGACATTGCAAGCAGATTTACCAGTTTTTTGTCTGTTAGGATTGATAGGAGGAAAATTTCCTGACCTGTCATGGGAGACTCTGAAACTGCTGTTAGAGTGTCTTAAATCTGCTGCAGGAAACAATATGGCTGAACTGAATTTAGACATGTTGGGTTTAAAAATGGAAATATTATCGCGTTCTGCAGAAATATTCTTTTCTTTTGCAATAAACTAACTTTGTTGTGTTTGTATGCTGTTTGTAGGATCATGCTGGTGTGCTCCATTTCACGAGGATGTAATATAACTGCTGTAATTAGCTTTTGTTTCACACTTAACTAAGTTTCAAAGTAAATTACACGCTAACAGTCGAATTTAGAAAACACATTAAACACAGTATAAACTAGAATATACTGCTCAAAAAAAATAAAGGGAACACCTAAACAACACAGTGTGACTCCAAGTCAGTCACACTTCTGTGAAACCAACCTGTCCAGGTAGGAAGCAGCACTGATGGTGAATCAGTTTCACCTGCTGTAGTGCAGATGGAGCAGACACCAGGTGGAGGTGAGAGGCAGTTAGCAGGACAACCCCTATAAAGGAGTGCAGGTGGTGACCACAGACCATGTCTCTGTTCTCGTCCTTTCTGGCTGATGTTTTGGTCACTTTTGCATATTGTCAGTACCCTCAGCCCCAGAGGCAGCATGAGGCGTGTCTACAACCCACACAAGTTACTCAGGTAGTAGCTCATCCAGGATGGACATCAATGCAAGCTGTGGCAGAAGGTTTGCTGTGTCTCTCAGCAGTGTCCAGAGCCTGGAGGAGATACCAGGAGACAGACCGGTACACCAGGAGACGTGGAGGGGGCCGTAGGAGGGCAACAACCCAGCAGCAGGACCGCGACCTCCTCCTCTGTGCAGGAGGACCAGGAGGAGCTCTGCCAGAGCTGCACAATGACCTCTAGCAGGCCACTACTATGCATGTTTCTGCTCAAACTGACAGAACCAGACTCCATGAGGTGGTCTGAGGGCCCCACGTCCACCATTGGGGCTTGTGCTTACAGCCCAGCACCGTGAAGGGAGATTGGCATTTGCCAGAGAACACCAAGATTGGCCATTGGTGCCCTGAGCTCTTCACGGATGAGAGCAGATTCACACTGAGCACATGTGACAGATGTAACAGAGTCTGGAGACGCCGTGGAGAACGTTCTGCTGCCTACAGCATCCTCCAGCATGACCGGTTTGGTGGGTCAGTAATGGTGTGGGGAGGCATTTCTTTGGAGGGCCCACAGCCCTCCATGGGCTAGCTAGAGGTACCCTTACTGCCATCAGGTACCGGGATGAGATCCTCAGACCCACTGTGAGACCACATGCTGGAGCAGTGGGCCCTGGGTTCCTCCTGATGCATGATAATGCTCAGCCTCATGTGGCTGAAGTGTGTCAGCAGTTCCTGATGATGAAGGCATTGATGCTATGGACCAGCCGGCCCGGTCCCCAGACCTGAATCCAACTGAGCACATCTGGGACATCGTGCCTCGTTCCATCCACCACAGACTGTCCAGGAGTTGATGATGCTTTAATCCAGGTCTGGGAGGAGATCCCTCAGGAGAACATCGTGCCTCATCAGGAGCCTGCCCAGGCCTTGTAGGGAAGTCCTACAGGCACGTGGAGGTCACACACACTACTGAGCCTCATTCTGACTGGTCTGGAGGGATTTCCACTGAAGCTGGATCAGCCTGTGATGTGATTTTCAACTTTTATTTTGAGTATGATTCCAAATCCAGACCTCTGTGGGACAATAATTTAGACTTAGATTGATCATTTTTTGTTCTAAACGCATTCCACTATGTAATGAATAAAGACTTTCAACAGGAATATTTAATTCATTGAGATCTAGGATGTGTTGTTTTAGTGTTCCCTTTATGTTTTTGAGCTGTGTATATAGGCTCTATAGCTGACAACATACTCGTATAGACATTGCTCTGCAAAATGCTGGGCACAAGCTGAACTCCATCCAGAGACCACAAGTTGAGAAAACAGTTTTATTTTCTAAACAGCTTCCCACATGCAGGCCCTGCAGAAACAGAACGTTCTCAACCATCCTCACATCTGAGGCTCAAATCTCATGACTTGAGATCTCGTGCTCTGCAGCTCACACCAGGTTGATTTGCCCCGTCGCCCCTC